CAGGGTCTCAGTTTCACCTCAGGGTCTCGGTTTCACCTCAGGGTCTCAGGGTCTCGGTTTCACCTCAGGGTCTCGGTTTCACCACTCGGTGAGAAGAGACATGTCATTTTTGTTCAACTCACATGACTTCCGCCTGTTCGCCTTTGAAGTGATCGGCCGAAAGAAATCCTGAGGCTTAGGAGTCACTGTCCAAGCCCGTTTTCTCATCAGCGAGTTTCCCCCTGAAAGGCCTGGCAATTGCCTTGCAAGACCCATTCACATTTGGAGCCTGCTTGTTAAAAGCCGTTGGCCCGAAAGGTGTCCTCCATAGATGAACCGCTGCTCAGGGGTAGGAGGCACGAAAGGCTGTCCTTTTCCGAGTGCCACCATCTTATCGACCAAGCCCAAGCCATCCTCAAGGCAAATGACCTTTTCTGATGTCGAAGGTCCTCCAAAATGTCAAAAATGTGTTGAACATCTGCGAACATCAAATATATAACGTATACATTTAATATCATGTAGACTGTCGACTCTTGAGAAACAACACCCACGGCCTTTTGGGGTGTTTACATTGTTTTGCTATCCATGTTTGGAGGGCTTAATCGAATGAATCAAGAGTTAGAGGACCTCAAAAAGGCACTTCTGACCTGCCCAGCGCCCCAGAGTCTGACCTGCCGCGGCGCTGGCTTGTTGGGCAGTTCACCCTCCCCGGTGCACTTCACGGAATCCACGTAGACGTCGTCACCGCGGAGGCCCCTGCTGGCCACCAGGAGCCTGCAGGGATCTCATGTGATCTCTGTTTCGATTTCAAGTGAAGGAAATGGAAGGCTCTCGTGGCCAACGACTTGGGACTAGTCGCCCGGTGCTAGCCCCGTCCGTAGCGTCCTTGTTGCTAGTTGGGTTCCTTCAGGGGTCCTTCTCAGGTGGTTTCCCCTTGTTTCGTGCCCGCTTCCGTGCACATCTCACCACGCTGGATCCTTCGTTCGGGGCGTGGAGGGGGTCACTCCAAACACTCCGATCCAACAGCTGCAGCCATGGTCGTGTCACGCATGGGACCAGAAGGGAACATCTTCGATTTCACATCGCAAGAGATAATGGTAGATGACCCCGCTTGGAATTTCGGGAGAACGAGATCCTGTAAGGGTTGGAGGTCAAATTAATGGTACACCTGCATATTGTAGAGATCAACCGACTGCGATTCTACAGAAAGACCGGGAAGGTTCAAAAAATGCTGGAACCACATTGGAACTCCTAGATCTCTTGATGCTCCAAATTTTGACGTTCATGGACAATATACCCATGACCGGTTCGCGCAAAAAGGCCGGACTGGTTGTGTACAGCAAAGCCTGTGCCACACGGGCCTTTTTCCGAGATCCTCATTTGTAGTACTATCACGCTGTCTGGTCCAACAGCCCAGCAAAGTGCATTCCTTCACCTCACGATCTTTGGTGGTGCTTGGACCCTTCAACGGGTGGTGCTTGGAACCCCACTGCTTCTGGGCACCGAACTTGATTGAAACGCCCAATCTTGGAGGGTCCGAGGTGTTAAAGCTCATGTCAGACCATAGCCCGATGGATCATGCTTTATCGACCGGGTCGGTGGCAGAGCTGTCCACCCAGACGCGAAGTCCCGAGCGCCCCGGCGGCAGGCAAAAGAACGCGACGAAGCGAGCCATGGCAACGAAGCAGGACGAGACGGCGGGAGGCAAAGCTGATCGGCTGAAAAGGGCTTTCAGAAGGACACACACCGGGAATGCTTGCAGCTAGTGAGGAGAGTGACGATGATTCTTATGTTGAAACCGCATCACCTGCACCTGAAGGTACGGACCTTCCAGAGATGAATCTGTGGTGGAACACGCAGCAAGCTTGGTTTAACCTTTTTATCAAGATTGTTACACACAAGAATCTAGAGAAATCTATAGAGGACACTGCTTTTGGAACTGTGCCCTGTCCATTTGCTAGGGATTTCCTGCACACAAGTTTCTTAAGATCCAATATCATTGATTGACAGGGGCTCAACATAGCAGTTCAATTCTTTCAGAGGCAGACCGTCCACAAACCCAAAGGGGAGGAGCAACTCCTGCTTCAACCCCTACCACCCGCAGCCAAACCAACCAAGAGTCCTCGAAAGACACCAGACTAGACTCTCCCCAAATCCTTCCCAAACAACAACTCACTTCATACCTAGCGCTTCCAAGGGGTGCCCAATGGAGACCTGTAAGTAGTGTGGAGGTATCCATTGGTGACCCCTTGGAAGCAGCTGGTACATTTCCCCCCCAAAAAAAACAAACTGGCCATCTGCTCCTCTCCACGTTTTTTGCACCTCTTGGGTCTTCCGCGCAGTTCCGTCGCTCGCCGTCCCCGGGTCCCTCCGCATCTCCCCGCCTTCGCTCCGCAGGATTTCTTCCGCCGCCGCGGTGTACGAGCTGTGCGGCATCCGGTCCCAGAGCGACGTCATGCCTCCCCCGGTCGGGACCCCCGTCCCCGGAGAACGGGGCGGAGGCGCCCCCCCCAAGGAGCCGGGAGTTGGAGTTCGGGGTTTTGAAAGGATCCCCAAAGGATCCAAAAGGGACAATCAGAATAAAAACCATGTGACTTCACTTTCGAGGGTCTGCCCCACCATGATATTTTCAAGCTGACCACTTGGATGAGCATGCAGTTAAAAAATCAAAAAACAAGGCCATTGACATTGGGTGAGCAGGGGCTGCCGGACACTTGGTCGGGTGCACAAACACGTCCGATGGGGTCAAAGAAGTGCGCCTCGAAATCGCTCCAATTCTGGGAAGGACTGACTGAGCCAAGAGTTGCTAGACTAGAAGGGTGTTAGAATATAGGTATATGGGCTGGTGACTGGCATTGCTCCATTCAGTGCTTATGGATGTTTTTGAGTTTTCAACACCATATTCGGAAGTCATGGGAAGTTGAATCCATCAGACCATGATGTTTTCGAGGCACACGGGGAGACCCTTTCAACAGCCCGAATCCAGAATTAGGATGAAGTAGGAACCGGGAAGTAGTTCCGAGCTGAAGTTCCCAAACGAAGCACAGTTGGGGAATCAAGACCCCCTTCAACCTCCACACGCTGACGCTCCTCATCCAGGAAGAATTCACCGCTTCCACACCCCGGTGTATCCATATCCTCAATCCTCAACTTGGACAGAGATGCTGATGGCCATCTGAGTTCTCAGCAGGTCCTGTGGAGAACTACTGCCCGTGTAGCTTCGCGACGTTCAAACCCTCACGGCGAGAATAGTATAGAATTAATAGTAACTATACTACCTACTGGTGAGTTAGGACTTTGCGCTACTAGTGAGTTAGGAGTTGTGCAGCACAAGGCCTAACTCATGAGGCCAAATCAAACCCCGCCATTTTAGAACAGCAGGTGTTCCATGATGAGATAGGAGTAAACATACAGTCATAGGCTTCTTAGGAGGGAGGGCAATCTGCATTACTGCAACCCTGTTGGCAATATAAAAGGTTATAAAAGACTATAAAAGAACATAAAAGAACATATAAGCAAATATGTTCTTTTAAAAGGTTATAAAAGAATATAAAAGATTATATTTTACGAATGGTGGTTTTGAGAGAAAACCATGAAGAAACTGTTACATCATGGAATCATGCACTGCCGCCAGCTGGTGCCTTTTCTCTTTAAGAGAAATCGGTCCATGCCTTTTGCATGAAAGTCCTTGCCAGTCAGTGACTCCACCAACCAGCTAAGCTTCCACAGAGACGACGTGTCTCAAGAGAGCTAGTTAGATGTTCTTATGGTAGATGTTGCTAGGTTCTCAGTTAGTTGAACAGTGGCCCAGGAGCCCCTAGTAGAGTCCTTTCTGCTAGTAGTAAGACTTAGTTGAACAGTGGCCCAGGAGCCCCTAGTAGCGTCCTTGCTGCTAGTAGTAAGGCCAGGAGCCCCTAGTAACATAGTACACTTCCTTTTTTTTACCAACTACTTCGTCCTGCGGCGCTTGCTGCTGGGTGAAGATGGCTCTGCCTTGCTACTCGGCTGAGCTTCACGCAACCCTGTTTCGGGGGTGAACGATTGCAGGATCCTGTCAATCTGCAAATTGGTTGGCCTCGATTGCCGATGTCATGATTTTAGGGGCACCATCTCAAGATAGAATATTCTGAGGTTCTGAGTCCTAAACAAGTCTTAGTAGTAAGTTCGACAGACTAAAAAAGCAGCAACAGCAAGAATCAATAGTTACTCGGCTATTTGAAGTTTCAAGTGAGGGGATCCCTGAAAAGGAATTGAAATGAATTTCCAAGTCACTGAATTTGTTCTGGATGCTTTGGATTTCGCTTTGAGTGAGCTTCCCAGATAAACCGCAAGACCTCACGAAGGGCTTCCTTCTCTGAGAGCATTCGCCGGGGACCATCCCAGGTGCTGCTCAAGGATGCTCGATCACCTGCTTTACCTGAGTGGCTGCAAGATGATGCAAGTGTGCAGCTGGGATGCAATCAATCATTCAGTTGGGATGCAAACAATACAGGGAGTCCACAAGATCTATGTTTGAAGTGATTTCCGCATTCCTGGATAACATGACATGTCATGTTAATACCATTTGAGTAATGTAAGCCCCAAAGTTTGAAATCGAATCCTTTCAGAAAAGAACACCGTGGTTAACCAGTACCAGGGGAAACATGTTCTTACTTGAACCTTGCCTGGTGGGTAGAAGCCTTGATAGGTCTTGCGAGCGCCCGGTAGTCGTTTAATCGTCACTCCTGAAAGCGTGCCCTTCCCAGGAAGCAAAGACTGTAGTACATCCGGAGTGTAGAGCTTTGGCGAGCTCTTTGTATGAATCTCTCTTGGTTGAATTTCTGTCTTTCTCTCAGCTTCAGCTGGAACGGCTGGATCCACCGAAGCTGCTGGCACCTCTTCCTGAGGATTCTCCAAAGTCGGTGTCACGACACGTTTCTGTCGCTCTTTCTGCTCTCTGCAGATTTCTTTCACGTCTTTGAAGTCCTCGCGACTCACTGGGTCTAACTGATCAATGGCATCAAGCAGCTCGTCAGGACACGGGACCACTGAGCCAGCAGAGTTCATGATCCCATCAACCATCCGTTGTTTCTCGGCCTTTGTCTCTTGGCCGTGCAAGAACTCCACAACAGCCCAAGCCAGGTCTAGCTTCACAACGCCGCCGTTTTTTCCCTGAGCCAGTCTTTGGCCATGGAACCTTCTTGGCTTTGCACAGCAACTCCAGCTCGGTCCGCTTCAGAAAAGCTCCCCTGTAAACAGCTGCTGCGACGATGTCATCATAGCCCTGTGCAAGCTTGAAAACACAGCAGTGTTCCCGAAGCTCATCTGACCCTGCAACCTGATGCACCAAGTTGAAGTCACAATGCCGCCAAGGACACGCTTCACTCACATCATGGTTGAAGATCCAGTGTGGAAGCGCCCCAGGTGTCCAATCAGCAAAGTCAAAGAAGCAGTATTCCTGCACTAAGCAGACCCACGAATGAGCGAGCTGAATCAAAGAGCTCCTTTTATTAAAACAACAAAACAGAGCAGGTGAACCTAAAGGAGAAGCAGCCAAGACCCTGCTTTACTTTCACTCTTTACTGACTAGTGAATGGTGCCTCGTCACCAACCTTCACATGCTTCATAGGTACCGCCAACGCAGCATAGGCTTTGAAGCCAAGAGAGAAATAGTATTTCTTTTCCTTGAGGTGAAAGAAGACGCAGCCAAGGGTGAGGAAAACTCCTGGAATGAAGGGCAGGTTTGCAATGTGACTTACTTAGCCTTAAAGAATCATAGAGAACCTACAAACACCTGAGTCTGCTATAGCCTGTTTGGGGTGAATGAAGCTCATGAGTGGATCCTTCTGGGTTATTTGAGTGTCGCCTCATGCAGTAGATACAGTAAGTTTAAACAGACTCATAATATAGTCCTGCCCACACCATTGGCAGGAGGTCCCAAGATCCAGAGAACTCCAAAAGCCATGCCGCCGCTGCTGATGCACGTTGGTTCGATTGTACACCAGCAGCCTTGTAAGTAGATGTCAAGCTCTTCGGTGTGAGCTTTGACCTTATCTGCGCAGGAAACGATTTGTCAGTCGTGAAGGTCTTCTTGTAAACAACGCCTGCTGCTGCCTTGAGCTTTTTCAAGGCATGGTGGATCATTGATCCACAATTCAGCCTGAACTGCGGCCATCCAAGCGTGGCCACCACCGGGGTGCTCAGAACATAGAGAAACTTGGTCCACCTCAGGGCAAATGAAAATGTCAACAAGCAGCCAGTGCACAGACAGCAGTCACAAAGACAGTACTAGACATCAGTTGAAAGTCAATCACCACATGCGAACAAAACCCGAAGAGTGGTGGTGTTTGGGGGCCCAACCACAGTTGAAATTTGAGACGAGGTGCCTCTGCATTGTATGGTTTTTGGCATGACGTCTGGAAATATCTGCGACGTGGTTGAAAACATCTTCCAGCAAATACTTTGTATTGGCAAGCCTGCCAAATACAAGCCAGCTGAACAGGCGCAGCTCAGGGTCTGTCCTGTTGTAATCGCACTGCTGACATATTGCCATGCCTTCCCTGGCCAGCTGCAAAGCGTTCCATGACAAGTCTTTGAGCAATCCTTGAAGTGCAGACAGCAACTTCTTGTTTTTCAGGGGCACTGTGTATGCAGCATGCTCTGCAGCCAGCACAGCCTTCACCAGATCACGCGCGCGTCCAAGACCAGCATCGCGGGCAATGTGGGTGCGGTGATGCACGCATGCCAGCAGCTGGGGCATCATCATCACGAACTGCATCTGGGACCATGCTCGGAAAGCACAGAGCGTGACCAGGAACGTCAGGAACTTGCGTAGGATCTTCCTTTCCTCGTGAACCCATGCCTCATCGCACCCTTCTGTAGGAACAGCAAGTGTCACGCCGAGGAATTCCACGGTCGCGCTGTCATGAAGCAAGCTCAGTGTCTCCTGGATCGTCTTGTAAAAAGCGCCAGAAGAGCGGTCAGCTTGCCATCGAATGCAATCAACCTTTGATCAACTCGAATGTTGAAACGGTCAGAGCTTCAAGCCAGATTATAGTAGCATAGTAACTACAGGCTAGGTCATGGCTAGTAGTTTCCACCAGTGAGTTCATTGAGGATGACTAAAAAGGTTCAGGCTGACAGGCTAGCAGCAGTAGTTTCCACCGGCGGTGAATTCATTGAGAATGACTATAAATTAAAAGGTTCAGGCTGACAGGTCAGATCATTATTATGACTCGACAGGATGGGAAAAATAACCCACAAATCAAATGCTGTTATGTTGGTTAGCAGCTTGCCCAAGTTTCTGCTCCTTCAAGGCGTTCTGATACTCTCTGAACAAGGGGTCTGCACCCAGATAAATAATTCTCATCTCTATTTGGACCCATCGTTGGTGGTAGAACAGGGCCGCTACACGCAAGTTGGACTTTAAGCGTGCCTGCAGTTCCTGAAGCTCAGCCCGGGTTTGAGGCTCTGCAGCTTCGGGAGCGACCCGACCACCCTCGGCCTCGCCATCGGCTTCTGCAAGTTCTGCCACTGGCGCCAGGTCAGCTGACTCCTGGACAGCAGAGGGGTTTGGCAGCGGAAGAAGCGTTTGTCTCACCGGGTTGGTTAGGCAATTGGCTCACGGTGTATGGAATTAGTGTCACCTGCCTGTCCAGTCCTGGTGTTGGTGAATCACCCAGGGGATCAGTGGTCCAGTGGGGTGGTTGAACATGGATTGAATGGTAACAATGTTAGTTTTGCAGTAATTGTACTAAGCTATAGAAAGTTGTAACATTGTCGTAATCCCATGAATTAATTAGGGGATCGAAGACTTCAGAATACTAACCTCAGAATGGAATACCTCTTTACTAGTGGATACTGTTGGGTTTCATATCACTGGTCCTTATCCACCCCAAGCCGCCCTGGCCCTTGCCTCAACTTTTCCTTGGGACTGACACAGTGGTGACGTTAAGGCAGTGCTCTGTCTTTGAAACTAGCACCACGACAACAATTCCGATGATCCTCCTTCAGATCAGTGGGACAAAACCAAAACACAGTCTATGTGTCTGTCTATGGCGTTACAACGGACGGCCAAGTCCAGCCACAAGCCAAAAAAGCTCCGGCCACAAAGAACTCATGACTCTTAAAGTCGTCATGTGGCCAATTCAATTCCGAGATGGGCTCAACGGTCAGATCACTCTGATCAGATGATCAGGCTGCTGCTAAGGCAGGTCAGATGACCAGTGCTTCGAGGAATCCGCCGACCCAGATGATGTCTCAGGGTTGTCAAGCTCCATCATGTAGGCCTGAACTTCTTTCTCCATTTCCAGAAGCATAGCCGGATCAATCTTCTCGTGCCATGGTTTGGTGATGTTCTTGAGCTGCAGACGCTTCTGACGTTCGTTGTCCCACTCACGTTCACGTTGCCTTGGTTGGATTGCGATGATATGACGACGAATGAAATTGGAAGACAAAGTGCGACCAAAACCAAAACTATATATATATATGTTTTATACTATATAATATTATACATACTACACATATCATATCATTACTGTATACTATAAAGTTTATGGTGGTAAGGTGGGTAACAGGTTGATGGCAAGATTGCCACGGCTTATCCAAGGCGCCAGAACTCTTGGATTTCTTTCTTTTCATCGGCGTCCAACCAAGAGAGCTCGTCATGTTCTCCACAGTCAAGCTCGAAGCCAAGCATGGACACTGACTGTTCTTCCACTAGTGAAGCAAATTGCGGAAACAATGGCTTTCTTTTGGGAGGAATGCACTTGTGGTGTAGTCCATGGCGCATGTTCTGGTAGCGCTTCGTGATCTCTTGCCCCCTTTTAGTGTACTTCTTCTTGATCAACCCGATCATCTTGGATCGCCATTCCGCTCTCAGAGCCGTCACCGGGTGAACTGGGTGAATCACGAAGTCAAGGCGGTTAGAGTCCATGACTGACAGTCTGACAAGGAGAGGCAAGAGCTCTTGACCAGAACCTAGTCACTTTTTGTGCCCAAATGGCTCAGCATCCAAGCCACATGACATGACATTGGTAGATGTTTCAATTTCCTGGGGACTACACCACAAAGTAAGTAAGTGCATTCTGACCCATAAACATGAGTGACCCAGGACCCACATCAACATCGTTGTGTTTATCTTCTGGTTTTTCTACGACCCGACGATCATCCCTCCAACCCAGCTTCCTGATCCCGGCACGTTCTCTCCTGAGCTTCGTCCAAGATCAAGGAAGAAATGCTCCAATCTGCATCGATGGCCCTCATCACTTGGAGAATCTGGAACCAGCTCTTGTATTTTGCCTTGGCGCACGCTTGAGACTCGTCACAGAATAAGGGCTGCATTGGAAGGTCAAAAGTTTCTACCCTAAGCCAAAGAAGATCTAAGATAGCACTAGATTAATGAAAAAGGTTCTAGAGTCTAGAGCCAGAGCAGGTTTGCAAAGAAAAGCATGATATAGAACCCAGAATTTTCAGCTTATATTTAGATATATCATTGAATGAGTAGAAAGACCTGAGCAAACACTGTGTTTGACAGATTGGAACAAAGATTTTTGAGTGCAAATAACAAGGAACGTAGATTCCTCTCTTGGCAATGGTTGGTTCTGACAGCAGCTCTTCAGGCCGAGTGGGCACCGGCACACCAGATGGACCCCGGTCAAACTCCAAGTCTTCGCACAAACGTTGGAAGTCCTCAACTTTCATAGATTCCACTAAGTGGCAGCAGACCTCCTCTTTTGTCTGTTGATTCTTTCCAGATCCATATGGACTGTGATTCACATGGGACATCAATGTTGCTTTCAACAGTGTTGGATGGAAGCCAGCTACCTTGATAGAGTTCTTCAAATTGTTCCACGCTGGATGACAGTACTCCGGTTCCATGTACACCCTGAGGCCTGCATTGAAGGCCAGGTTGTAGCCAGCTTTGAAACCGACACTTTCCTCGTCAGCTGCCTGAGCTCTTTTTGACATGGACCATGATCTTGAACCGACAATATAAAGGCCCTAACTTTGATTGGGCGTAGTAGTCGAGTCTTAGCCTCTGAGCTAGGTTTTCCTTTGTAACAACACCCTTTCTCACTTCTATTGATCATAGTCTGCCTTAGGCCAACTAAATGGGAATGCGACCCAACCATCAAAAGGCTAAACAACTCATTGGGAGATGTGACTGGATCTGGAGTGATATTGTCGTGTGCAGAGTTCACCACAACAAATGATCCAGTTATAGAAATTGAGATACAATAGTGAGATGAGGACGATCTCTGACTGATGACGGGGTCAAACGCAGAGGCTCTCCAGGCTTCAAATGCTCCTCCGGAATGAACTTTTCAAGGCCCCATCCAAAGATGGTCATCAATGACGTTTGCAATCCCCGCATGATTGCCTCATTTGCTTTCAGCGTCTGAGGCATTATCGCCTCTGAATTTGATCGCATCTCAGCTTGAATTTCCCTGGGTTTGTGCGTGTGTGAGGTAGTATGTCACTAGGACACAGTTTCATAGTCCTTGGTATCTCACTGACTTCTAAAGTTTATACAATGCCATGATGTCACAGGTAGGCAGTAACTCAGTAGTCCTTAGCAACCTTAGAGTCAGTCAAGGGTCTGTCAGTCAGTGAGTGAGTCAGTGAGCCGGGGGCAAATAACTAAATAAGGTGAACCACTTGATTCACTGAACGCATCTATGATATTGATATATCGTATGAGTCTATTGTATTATATTGCATCTGTCTCTCAATTTGTCTAACCACACAGTTGGTCAGTAAATAAAACAGGACGTGACAAACAGGTCTATATAAACTAACAATGCTAGATGAAAGCCAGCGACCCCTCCACTCTGACCAGTGTCACTGTTGCCAAGTTGCAGTGATGGCGTGGATAGCTCTCTTGGTTTGCGGAATCGAGGATTCAGGCAGAGGGTCTTCTCGAGTGAGGTCCCTGAGCCCGATTCAAAGACTGTGTCAGCCAGTGACTCAATCTAAGATTGAGACACTGGCTGACATGACATGACAGTCTGACATGACAAACTAACTACTGCTCCTAACATTGAACATGTGCTTTCTGTTCAGTTCCTACTCGTGTCGAGCTCGAATCACGACTATCGTTTCAAGTGCTAAGACCGACAAAGTGAGGCCCAGTGTCTGCTGGAGAAGCTCTTCCGTGTGGGCGACGTAGGATGGAAGCACCTCAGGCCGATCCAACCGCTCAGGGCAGAAAACACGAAAACGCACATCACAAAGTATAAGTGAGGGCTGACATCACTCAAGTGCTGTGCATTGTCAGGTCCGGTGTCTTACTCTTAGTGTCTGACATGAGCCACTAGCTATAGGGAACCAACTTGATGAAACGTTGGATCAAACACCACCGATCGAGACGAGAAAAACATTACAGTGACATGAGCCTACCCTCCCTGACTGAATAGAACATTGAAGTAGAGTTCACCCACTGTCTATAGACGATATAGAGGATTTCAGTTTCTTTTCGGCAATGCTGCACACCTGTGACTGACGTAGTCAGCAAGTATGATACAATGACAATCCGAGACTGACGTAGTCTCAGTGCCAGTGCTGAAAGGCCCTCCCACATCAATGGGTGTTTAGTTTACAAAGCATGTGTTTTAGTTTTGGTTGGTTGTCTGACTCAATAATGAAGCAAAAGCTCTGAATCAATGTGATTTCCATGGAAAACTCTTGAAGAGTAGAAATGCACTGGAATTAGAATTGAGACCCAATATAAATTAATGGACTCCTGAAATAGGGAACCACTGAAGACACTGATTCTTTTAAGTGGTCATGCCAACAACCCCCAAATGGGATGATTGAGCCAAAAATAAATCAACATAAAAGAAGACAAGAAAGAACATATAAGATCATATAATCTGTTGTAGCCTTTTAAAAGAATATATAAGACTATATAGTCTTATAAAAGACTATAAAAGACTATATACAGACAATTGGTTTGCAGTAACCCCCCCCCCAAAACGCTGTAAATACCAGCAAAAATGGCTCCTATGGCACCCCTTTGGGAGGACCTTGCAAAAGGCCTCTACTCAGGCATCGTGGCCTCAGTAAAGTCGCCACCCTGACCCACGGTGACCTCAGAATCAGCCACATCAGCAGGCTCAGCAGGACCCTCAACCTGGGTCTCAGCAGCAACTTCCACAGACTCCTCATCCACCTCCATCTCATCAACTTGAAGGTCAGCCAATAGGGCCGCTCGCTCTGCTTCATACTCCTTCTCGAGCCTTTCTGATTCCTGCTGGCGGAGTTCTTCTTCCAGTTGAGCCTGCTTTGCTGCTTGCTCCTCTTTCTTGCGTGCAGCCACAGCCTCATCCTCTGCCTTCTTGCGGAGTTCCTCTGCCCGCTGTTCAGCTGCAGCCTCATCCTCTGTCTTCTTGCGGTCTTCCTCTGCCTTCTGGCGAGCTGCTGCATCTTCCTTCTTCTTGCGTGCCTCCTCCAACACCGCCTTCTTGCGATCCTCCATCTCTTGCCGGAGCTTTTCCTGCATGAGCTTCCTTTTTGCATCAAACTCTGCTGCCACCTTCAACCGGGCTTGCTCGGCCATCTGTTCAGCTGTCTTCTCAGCACCATGAGGTTCAGGAGGTGTCTCTGGGTTTGATTTCTGTGGCTTCAGCAATCTCTTGAACAACTTGGACATCCAAACGCTCGAAGTGCCAGCTGGTGACTTTGGGCCTGGCGCTGCAAAGACCTCTCCAAAATGCTTGCCCTCCTGCAGTAGTAGGCTTGAACCATTCATTTTTAAAAATGGAACGGTGTATAATTTTTGTGTCACAATGTCTAAAGAGTAAAACTATGAATACATCACCCAATAGTCCCACTCCAATTTACAAAAGACTCAAGGCTGTCCTTCTCACAACGGTGGAGCTTGTACTGAATGCCAGCAGGAAGAGCTTCTCTCAAAATGCCTTGAGGATGAGTCCACACCACAGCTTGGCCAGTAGGACCATTCTCAATCTTGAATTCCTTGATGGTGTCCTCCTCCTTCTCTCAGGAAATCAATTAGTTCCTTTGACAGTTATTGTAATACATAAATACTGACACGACTTACATAGACCAAATTCATACATTTAGAAAAGAAATAAGACCAAATTCATACATTAATTTAGAAAAGAAATAAGCAAACTACCCAGTCCCCCTCCTCATCTTCAGAGCTGCTGCTCGGCAAAGCAACTTCACTCTTGCGGGCCTTCTTGGTCTGATGATCGTCCCCTGGCCCCGGCGGCGCAGGTGGCAGTGGCACGGCCGAAGAAGGCTCTGATGATGGTCGCGTTGAAGTGTTGGACATGGATCCTGGATTCAAGGGAACATTTGACAGGGACGAATCTAACACGCTAAATTTTATAAACATCACGGTGCCATTAATTATCCACCACTATGGACCATGGATGATATAGTAGCTCGACCATATTTTTGGTTCCAGGGAGTCCTTTGACCAGTGGCATCTCTTTCCTCTGGAACTGCTCCATCCAACCACGGCGGCACACTTTGCAGGTTGCCCGTGGCTCATTGCACGCGCAGACTGGAATTGCAGACTCTCCTGCTGGGGTTGCCAATATGGAACCTCAAGCTGCAGCCAAGTCTCACAGACTGAACGTGTCATTTATTTGCAATCATTACATTTGTATTATTATAGTACTCCAATGATTCTCGTGACCTGTAATGTAACCCAAAGTTCAAAAGGTACTGAACCTCACAGAGTTACCTGGAGACGCTTCCATACCGGCCAAGGGTGGAGAAGCCGCTGCCGGACCTGGTAGTGCTGGTTGCTTCGCTGCCTGGTTCGGTGCCTGGCCAGGAAGGGGGGCCTTGGACAAGTCCACAGCCTGGTTGCTGGTTGGCCTGAACCACTTCTGGAGCAAATCCAAGCAATAGTGCTGCTTGCCGTCATGATCATTCACAAAGGGAATTCCCTTTTCATCAAACAGCACTGTGTTCTTCATCTTCAATGTGGCAGGCAACCAGGCTGAGACCTTCATGTTGCTGATGAACTGTTTCTCTCCAGATGGACCATTGTGATCTCTGAGTACCCATGTAAGATCCTTTGACAGCAGCAAATCAACATCACGCAAGAGCGTTGTGACTGACTTGTGGTCGAGAGGGCTTCCAATGCGCTCATGCTCTTGATTCAAGAGGTTCTGCTGCGTCTTGACCGTACGACTTAGTTGCACAATTGACAATGGCTAACCTCCAAAGTGAAACAAAACTATTCCTAGTTAGGTTGTTGTACCTTCAATTCAACATCTAATGTTGCTGCTGCTCAAAATTAAAATTCAAAACAGGGTGTGAAATGGAAATCTTTGCTTACCTCCTCTTAGTTGCTCATCCGTTGGATGATGTGGCATCTTCTCAAAGCACCCAAAGAAAAGCTTGCGGACACAAGCGCCATCAAGGGTGTTCAGGTAGGACATGTTGACCTTCTTGTTGCCAACGCCAGCGATGAAGCGGCGAAGCAAGGAGGTCTCAGTATTAGTGAGCCACTCAGAGGGTATAGATTAAGCTTGCAATTATAAACGCACTAATGTTGATACAATTCAGGGATGCTTGCAGCTACTGACATAGTAAGCAATAACAAGTCTTAGTTCAGTCGACTGATGTTACAGCATGACTTGACAGGGTGATTCAAACAACTAAGGGTGGGACTGGTGTCTTCTTCCAGGTAGTGTAAGATGATGACATAACAGTGGCAGTAGATACACGGTCCCTCCTTTCGTGTTTTGACTTGGAACCCTTCGACTTGGTCTTCTTGTCCTTTTTCACTTTCTTAGAAGCACGGCTCTTAGACTTCTTCCCACCACTCGATGATTCACTGGATGACACCGAAGGTTCTTCAGCGTCATTCTCATTCCACTCTGCCAGCTGGAGCAAGTCCATGGTCAATGGTGATCGGACCAGGCAGGCAGGAGCTTACCGGGCGGTCCGTTAGCTGTACTGACTTGACCCGATTGAAATCGTCAGTCATTTGCCGGATGTTCCACAAAATACTACAAAATCACACTCCAGAACAGTTCTCAGGCCACATGTTTCAATGGAATCTTTGGAGACAAAGTGGTGTGTGTCTAGACCAGCAGTGCTGAAAAGTAGCAGCAGGATCATTTTTTTGAAGACGTGATCGAGTCTAGTGACTCTAGGCTGTTCTTTCAATTAGGCACTCCTGGCAATAATTTAAAAGCGTTCACTGATTGACTGCAGATTCAATAGCATCATGACCAAAGATATGTTTGAATATATAAATATATATAAATAGTCCTATGTCGGTTTGGGTTCATTCTCAAAACCAGGAGTTTGGTGCAGTGAAACGGTTCCCTGAAAAGTCAAGTGCTTGGTCTAAACATGCACTCACTCACTCATTGGAAGTCCAAATCCATGGAGCAGCTCCCTGCAGTTGATGAAGCTAGGCCAAAGCATGTGAGGGCCAGGATCTGCGCAGTCCCCACGTTGCTGAGACGCATCCCATTGCCAGCCAGGTCACTGGCACGCTTGACATCCAGCGTTGGGATGATTGGCGCCCTCATGCTCGTGCAGATCTCTGGAGTAACTGGCCAACCAAGGGTGGCAAGTTTTTCCTTTGAAGTCAAAAAAACGTTGAAACCTGGGGCTCCAGTGAAGTCCACTCTTTGCGTTGACCCTGTAGCACGGGATCTTTCCATTGAGTGACCAGGTCAACGAATAGCCCGGGTTGTCTCCAAGAAATACGATGAGGTCCTCATCCAGTGTCGCAGGCACACCAATCCTATTGAAGTATTCCTGCTCGTACTGGTCCAACGCCATCAATTCCCTGGTGCTCAAAAGGTAGGTAAGGTCAGTGCTGTGCGGCTGGTAGACAACCTTCCTAGCACGGGCCTTTGCTTCAGCTTCCAGCTGAATCTCGGTCGGTGTTGCGACTAGGTAGTCACTCGGCCATGTCACACGATCACACAATTTTGTTTTCAGGACATCTTGAAGGCACCAGGGGTCATGAAGAACCACAGAACGCTGGTTGTGAACTCCAATGACATAGGTCCTTTGCCTAGAAACACCTGCGTGGCCACAATCTTGTGGCTGCATCATAGTCTGGTAAAAATCATACTCAGGGCCGTGGCAATCCTCCACCATCCCCATGTCCAAGTCCTGAATTGAATCAGTCGGTTCGGTATGCAGGGACTGAGTGTGAGAGATTAGATTAGATTATATGTTCACCGCTTGAACATGGCACAGTAAAGAAAAATATCAGTCAAAGCAGTTACCAAACATCATTAAAAGCGTCTGGTGTACACTCTATAACCATCACTGGTGTGCGGTTTATGCGGTTGTACTTGGCGTGGGTCAAGTATACAGTGTTGGTTCTGCCCTCCCTCATTGCCCGAGCCCCAGCACGAGACATGTCTTGGCAAGGAAGGCCACTCACTCCAAAGTCGGCCGCTGGAACGGGGCAAAGGTCATCACAGCAACGCTCACACTTTTGAAGGCAATGCATCTCACTACCCAAAATCCGGTCCCTCTTCTCTGAGTAGCTCAGTGATTTGAAGTCACCCCTGTAGCAACTCTGTGGGTTCAAGGATTCAATGTCACTGAACAAATGCGGCGCTTCCCTGTGCCCTGTGACTTGCTCACACCAGCTCAGGTTGCTCGCAATGATGCTGTGACAGCGCTCGTTCCACTCCTGAGCTGAGGCTCAGGGAAGAAGGCAATGAAGCCAATTTCAGAGGTAGGTTTTTGTTTGGAGCAGTGCATGTAGGAACAATGAATGAAAAACAATTATTGCAAACTTTGCAAGGTGCCCACATGGCGACTGTCTTGATGTTCATATCATATCCTTGCTCATTGAAATACTTTTGGATCAGGCTTCTGGCCATCTCAGCTGTACCAGCACCAGTGCACATGCTGAAAGCAGTGCGTGCCTGGACCATGAAAGATTCCTGCGGTTCAGAAATTTGAACCACTAATCGAATCATAAATGCGGGGAAGAATAATGGGCTATGCTATTGAAACTGAAACATTGAACCTAGTTTGCAGTCTATTGGCCTACCAGTCCTTCAATGCTACGTCGCCAACGGCTTTGATCACGTGCTTCACTGAGTGTGACAGGCTGGCTGAAGCCCTGCACAGCCTACTTATCCTTCCCTCCTGCACAGGGTGATTTGCGAGTAAAAAGGACAAACGTTTGTTTAACTAACTTGTCCATTGGTTTGCTCATGTTTGGCCTGTTAGATAGGAATCAGGACACATACACACCAATCCCTCTGAATACTAGAAACTCATTGGCAGTGACATCCAGTATCCCAAACAATTAATGGGTCACACAACTGCCAGTCCTCAATCCCAATGCTTGGGACTGATGAAGGAGGATCGGTTGAAGTTGAAGACAGTGTTGAACCATCGGAACCAACGGCAAAGCATGGTGCAAGAAGGGCATCGTCCCAATCAACCTCCATCATCCGGGAATCCTAGCTAGCCTAAAAAACCTGTGTTGAATCTGCCCAACACAGGAATAAGCCAGCTGTGCTAGAGCCAAGGTGACAGTTAGTCAGGGCAGTGTCACAACTGAGCGGCGTAAATCGAATCAGTGACAATGAGTGCCCTTACTGACTGACTGAGTGGAGCACAATGGGTGGAGGGTGGATGCCCTGGTTCACTCTTGGACCTAGGACACAAGGCCGTGACAGACATTCTGATCAACATGTTTCACGCTCTGACGTTCTGAAAGTGCCAAAGAAACGTTTGACATTGACTTTATATAATTGATCCCAAGCTCTTGGCAATGAAAGTGGAAAAGTTCTGCCGGTGTCTTCGCCAATGAGCTTCCATCGAACATTGCCTGCAGCCAGAAGTTCTATCAACTGACCATTGTATTGCAACAGATTCAGATGATGGTCTTAGCTGACAATGATGTGTTGAAATGTTTCAATGTGAGGAATACTGTCTCCACTGACTGGTTTGCTGCTTTCATTCAATCTTCTTGAGCCGCTCACGTGAACGTGGGATTCCTGGCCAAATTTCTCCTTCGCGACCTTCAGCAAGGTGTCCTCAGGTAAAGTGGAAAGATCAAGGGGAAAGAAAACTCACACACAACATAACATCCATATGTATAGTAGTTGATTAGAGCAACAAACTTGCCTTTGACTCAGTAGTAAGTTGATTGACAGCCCAAGTCTCCCCATAGCGCCACGCACACTCAATGCCAACCTTGTCTGGGTTGGGTCTGCGAGGTAGGACATTCTTAACCGCTTCTGACAAGAACGTCGCCTGCCACACATGACAATCTGACATGGACTTGGCACATGGTCAGGTCTGGTATGAGCTCACAGCATCTCTGACTCTGACTCTCTTTAACTTTAGGTTAGGTTATAATCCTGGAAAGGTTCATGGCCACGCATGCTGCAAACCACTTGCCCGCCTTGCCCCTCAGAATTTCTAATGCAACTTTGAAGGCGTCCAGTGGTGACAAGTGTGTGGACCTCTTCGTCTTCTTCTCCACACGCTTGCCATGAGCGAGAAACCCTGCGTTCTGGTCCTCAGCCAGTGTAACGTGTAAGTCTGGTACTACTAGACTGCTAGGAATTCCAGAAAGTTTCAAGCACATGGCAAGATTTGTGATTGATGTCGCATTCATTCCATTCCAAACCAGATCAATAAGACCAAGCTTAGCTTCCACAAACTTTGAGATCTGTCCTACCAAGGACAATACCAGCCTTTGAAGAGGTTGCCGATATGCAGCCTCTCTGCGGCCACCCCGGCTGTCGACGAAGGACCTAATGATTAAGCTGAATATTCAAATGCGTCTGTCAGTCATACTGTCTTGAATCCAAATTCATTGTGAATCTCCTGTCAATGTCTCAGTTTAACATGCAATCGCCGCTGAGTTCCTACAAATCAGTCAAGATGCGGGTTCAAAGCAAAAGCGATCAAATGCCCAATGTGTGGAGAAGAGCTCGGAGATCTCATGAAATGATACTGTACGTCCTGCAGATATGCAAAAGTCAAAACCTGATCACAAGGAAATTCCGTCACCTCATACATTCCCACCTGTACTCCTGGCTAACTTCCAAAATAAGAATCCTGATTATAGATCTGACTTGTCAATCACAAGAGACTCTCACAGTAACTTCTACAGTGTGGGGGTGCAAGACACGAGTTCCTTTACAAACCACTAATTTGTCCCTATACATGGTCCTGCATCATCCACTGCCACTCCTCTTCGAACTTCTGTTGCAGTTCATCGGTCAAGAAGCAATTCAGTGGCAGCTGGCCGTTTCTTGGGACGGGCAACTCCCAAGGCTGGCCATTTCCACCAGCAGTGCTCACTTTCAAAACGAGTTCACCAGTCGAACAGCAAGCTGCAACAAAGTCTATGAACGCTGAAGCACTTAGTGATCTGAAAGTCGTGTTCCGTTTCGGGTTGGTGATCTGGAAAACAAAGATAGCAAACATCAGGCTCGTAGGAACTGTTTGCTCCGGAAAGAAGCCTGATTCTCTAGCAACATTCCTCTTGCTCAGTGGCTCAAGTAGCTTTGGCACCTGGAAGCCTGGCCAAACCAGGCGATGGGCATCCTGCCAAGCCTCCATGCACGTACTCTTCTGCTTTCCTGGGAAATGAAAAAGACTCATTTCAACTACCTGGGAATCATCCTTTGTAGAAAAACAATAGCAAAATTAAGCGCCGTTCATTCAATCATTGAACTGAAATCAAGTTTCTTGCATTCGATTGAATCTTCTTAGGATCTTGTTGGTCTGAAGTCAAGCCAATGATACTGGCCAGTTGCCACTCGCACTGGCGAACCCCCTTGTCCAGCGCTTCGTAGAAGGCCAGGTTCTTGACCCCGTCGAAGTTGATGTGGCCTCATGTATCTAGAAAGGTGGCAAAACTCTATAAAACTGTATGGAAATTCACTATCAAGTCCTGCTTTGCACACGGTCACCAAACTGCCAAAATGTTCAAACAAATACATTGACCTGCCAGGGAACTCACACTTTCATATGGTACTTCACGGTCTTCCACCAGGGCCATGAGCTTATCAGTTCAGCTGTTCTGAACTGAAACACGCATCTGCCCTGAAATGAAAAGTGTTCAATGCGGTGTGGCCCAAATTGTTGTGACCATCTTGCAAAATTTCCCTTGACATTTGACATTAACATGAGTGAGGAATTCAGTATTAGTGTTCCTTGTTGTTCTTTTTGTTATGTCTCATGCCTTCCCATCTTGACCGCATGAGGACATCCTTGGAGGACATCCTTGGTCCTCATGTCCCCTGAGCCCCACCAGCTGTGTTGCAGTAACTCCTCTTGCACACACTCTTTAGAAGTCTGTGATACAGCAGATTGCCAACAAGTCCCAACTCAGACTGCATGCACATCTCCAAAGTCTTATCTCATGTGTTGGCGTCCGGCCAAACATGCCCTGGGCACACCATTTTTGTTGAAAAAAACTCAAGAGCGTTCCTGTTTTGCATCGCTAGGCTTTATGAGATAGGAGTTGTGGACGAAAAGCGTGTCTCAAAGTACTTTTACTCATGAGATAGGACATTGAATTTTTGGCATACCTCCGACAAGTCCTAAGTCACTGGTCAGTAGTATATATGTAACTATATAATAACTGTAATACTATATATATATATATATACATGCGGAGTATGCATTGAGTACGTCTGGACTCAGAAAGGATCCCAGCACTCCCACGAGTGAAGGATCGGTCACGAAAGCCCGAAAAGCGGCCTAGAACAGCTGAGCGCTTGCGCCGTTCTAGGGCCTAGAGCCCAACAAGTGTGCAAACAGATGCACGCAACCCACCCTTTATACCTCATAGAGTATGGAACGTGGCAGTATCAGGTACCTCCAGGTACTCACAACTCACCTCTAGTATGCTCCAATCGTGGCAGTCCATCGGTCCGTGGTCCTCCCAACGACCCCCCCTCCACCCCGCGCGCGGCCGCTCCAGGGGGTAGGTGAACAACGTGGCCGTGGCCCCCGCGGCGGCCCCGGAGACAAAGCGCACGAGGCAAGGGGAAGAGCAAGCAGGTTCTAAAAGCTGCTGATACCTCAGGCGGAGGTAGACACGCGAAGCCGGCGACTTCCAAAGCCGGCCATGTTGAAGGTCAGGCTGAACCGACGGCTACAGGTTGGTTGGTTTAGCCGCTTGGTCATTCGGCGTCTGACGGCTGCTCAATGCTACTTGGTACCACCAAAGGGCAGCCCTAATCCTGTCGTTCCTCAACCAAACTAGAGGGCCAGGCGGAAGGACAATTGACTTATTGAATGCTCAGTGGGCTGGGATGGCTGGGATGGCTGGGGCTCCCACCTCTCTGTCCAATAATGCAAGCAAAAAATACATCAAAATACCAAACAATCCTGCACCTGAACCGCTGAAATCGCTGAAACAACTTCCTTCTATCTTTAACTATTCACTACATCTGACTGCACAAGCTCACAAGTGCACACCCACATCCCCACCACAAGTTGGACTAGTGGTGTGCAGTGGCACTTCCAAAGGCATGCAGTGTCCAAGCGGAATCGCCAGTGGCTGGTGCCAAGTGGCTGGTCGAAAGTCATGAATTGCAAGCCAGCATATGGCATCACCTTCGGTCGCCGACATCGACGAAACCAAGAGATGGCGTATTCAGGACGACACCGACACCGCCCCCCTTTTCCCCGGTTGTCTTGCCCAAATGTTTCGAGTAAAAAAGAGGCGGGCTTCAATCTATCATGACCTCGAATTTCATGGTGGGGTGGCCAGGACAACGCGTTTTCCACGCCTGATGCCCAGTGAGTGACCCTCCTGGCTCACGGAGGTTTGAGTTGAATGGTCCTCTTTGGATGGTCCAACTGAAGGGTATGACACACCCTAGGAGCTTCCTGAGTGGACTTTGCCCATGTGGCCGGCTCGGTGGGGCACGCAGACCGGGCAGACTGCCTT